AGGGAAAGTGCCGCTAGCGCTGCTTCAGAAAGTTCGGACACGCCTTCGCTCAGTACCTGGGAGGGAAGAAGGGACGTTTTGGTACGAAGAAGGGGGGGCCCCGGGCGAACGGGGGCCGGGGCCTTTTCAGGCTGTTAAAGGGATCTCGGTTTAAGAAGAACTCCCGGGGTCTAAAATCCGGCCGCTGGTTCCTGACCCCCAGCCCGCCTCGGTTTGTGCCGTTTCGCTGAGCGGGGACTGAGGACCCCACGGAGAGGGCCGAGCCCAGCGGATCTCGGGAGAGGGCTGCTAAGCCCAAGCTTTCTCGAGCCCGGCCAAGGGGCTGACCGCTGTGGTCGCACTGAGGCTGGGCTCCTGGCTCTCGGGGGGCTCCTGGCGGCAGACTAAAATGGTCTTTCATCGTTCCTTGATGGAAGGCCCCGTGCTCGGAAGCGAGGGGAGGAGCCGGAAAGGGCAGACAGGATTGCCGGGGGGGGGGGGGAGGGCTGGGGATCGGGGGGACGCCGCGGTGTACCACTGGGAGAGGAGGGGGCGGCTGGGGGGGAACGGCGCCCGGCTGCGTTCGAGAGACGGGGGCGGGGGAGGAGGCACCCCGTGAGGCAACGTCAGCGGGGAGGACGCCTCCTTCGAGAAGGGGCTGCCGTGATCCACTGCTGGCATCCGTGGTGGGGGGACCGAGTGATCTCTCGAGAACAGGGTGCTGAGATCCTTGGGCGGAAGAGGCTGAGGGCCCGAGGGGGGTGGCCCAATCTGGTCCCTTGGGAAGGAAGCCCCATGCTCGAGGGGAGGCGGTGGCACGTGGCGGTCAAAGGGGGCACCGAAGCCAGCGGCTCGGAAGTTGCTGACATTCTCCTGAAACGACGCCAGGCGGTCCTTGTACTGGCTCTGGAAGCTCGACACGCCGCCGCCACCACCACCGCCGGTCCCCAGGGCGGCCATCTCTGTTGTGCCCGAAGGCCCGTGATCGAAAGTACTCCCTGCACCGCTCATCTCAAACCAGCCTGTTCTGGAGGCTTCTCTCCCGTGCCCTCTGCTCCCCTTCCCAAGGACTCGGATGGACTCCACCGTCTGAATGGGCTCTCCCGACATTCCCCTGCTGGAGGCGTTGTGGTACCCCAGCGTCTCAATGGGTGCCCCCTTCTCCTCAGTGCTGTCGGGCAAGTCCAAGCAGGATGAGGACACCCTGGTCTCGATCCGGTAGTGCTCCTCTTGCTGCTTCTGCTGCTCCCCTCCCGGAGAAAGCCCGGGGCCATCGCTGGCGCCGCCTTTGGGGACCTGGCCAAAATGCTTGCCTTCCTCACAGGGCTTCCGGGACGCATTTTTAAGCATGTTCTTGAACTCGATGGTCGAGGTGGCCGAGATGGAAGACATGGCGGATTTATCAGCATTGGATGTCGGGAGTCGGCTGGCGGGGGTCACGAGCGTGTTTTGAGAAGAGAAGAGGGACCGTTGGGAAACCAAGTGGGGGGAGTCGGGATACTGCTTCTGCAGCAGGCCTGAGTGCTGTACGGATTTGGGCAAGCTACTGTGATTGGAATCCGGCGGGAAGAAGACGTCGTTCTTACTCGGCGTCGGGGAAGCGTCCGAGCTGGAGTCGTTTCCCCGCAAACCGTAGCTCCCATACATTCCCGGAGAGGGCAGAGGCTCGCAGTTATCGCTCTGGTCGTGGAGAGATCTTACGGACTGGGGGAAAGACGCTTTCAGGCCAAACCCCGAGGGCCTCTGACGGTAGCTCGACATAACCGTTTGGTATTCCGAGGGGTCAGAAAGCTTACCCGATTTAAGGATGGATTTGGCCGGCTGCTTCTCCAGGTTCACCAAGGCAGACGGCGGAGGACCCGGGTAGTCGAAGTCGCGGTAATCTTCATCTTCCTGGAAGGAGGTATCAGGGTAGAACTTCTCCTGCGGGGAGTCCATCAACGAGGAAGGTAGCTCGATGCCATCTGAGGACTGCTTATACATACCGGCAGGAGAATCCCGGCTCAGACCAAAAGACCTGTACGCCGAATTAGACAATTCCTGGGGGTAGCTGTCATCCCGGCTCTGAAGAGGCGACCTTGTACTACTTGGAGTGGAAGAGCCAGGGCTGATAATCTTTGACAGCAGAGACATGGTGTCCACGTTGCTGGAGGACGGCTTGTCCATCATCTCGTCCTGCGTAGGCGTCCCACTCCGTTCGTCACGGACCGGAGTCCCATCTATGCTGTCCATTGAAGTGCTGGTGGGCCCACGGTTGAAATCTGGGGATGAGGAATGGCTTTCAGGCGGGAGGCTGGAAGAGCCCAAGCTACTCAAAATGGGGATGTTCAGATTTAAGCCGCTGAACCCCGGATTTCCCTTCAGGAAGTTGTGTATCTTCATCTCCAGACTAGGCGAAGTGGGCTCCGACTCCATCTTCGTTTCGGAGATCTCAGAAGACTGAGGTGTTGGGTTCTCGATGGGCCGAAGGGAAGGGCTGGGGGCCTGTGAGCTGGCAAACCCCAGGGAATTGGTTGGAGGCTTGAAATTGGCCCCTGAGAGCCCCGGACCATGTCCAGAGGGCATCTTGTTGACAGAGGTGGAAGAAACCTCCGCTGAGGAGGATGAATTTGGCGAATAACCAAGACTTTGGGGCACAAAGGACTGGGTGTTAGACAAAACATTCCTTCCTTTCCCAGAACCAGCGGTTGTGTTTGCAGGTGCCGGAGATGTGCTCTGGGGTGCCGTCTCGCTGGGCTGGCCTGAATTTCCAGCAACGCTCTGAAGAAATGAGGACAAACCTGAGGCAGAAGAAGAGCTTGTTAATCAGATACCTAAGGGGCAAAGTAGTGTTTCCAAAAGCCATCAACCCTTCAGCGATCAACGCGGCAGAGAGGCGTTCCCTCTCTCCTTTGGGAACGCGAACCCGCCCGAGCAACGGGTCTCCTAACTCCCTGAATGCCACACCAGAAGCTGTTACGTGAACCTGCCTAGTGCGGCTCTTTCGCTGCGCACAAAGAGACCCATAGAATGCAAGTGGGGCTCCCTGGAGAAGAAACTCAACCGGATTCCTTGCCATGGAAGGACCCTGAGCCCCCTCCGGATTTAGAACTTCTAGCCTGGAACTCAGCACAGCTCCACGGGTCAGTTCTTGGGGGGCGGCCCCACTCTTTACCTTGCAAGCCCGGGGCAGCTTGAGCCTGTGTCTTTGAGAGGGCGGAGAGGATGCTCTCTGGGGTGATCTCCACTTTGGAGAGGATGTTTGCCAAGGGGTTGGGCGGAGCTACCAGAGGTCCCGTAACTGGAGTCTTCAAGCCGCCCATGAGTGTCGTGGGGCTCGCTGGGGTGCCGGGGGAAGGTCTCGAGGCAGGACTGACCCCTGGAGTGAGAGAGCAGTGCAAAGATGAGCCCTTTTTAAGCCAAAAGCCAGTCTCTGGCATGCAGCGGAAGGCTTTCAACCAAGCATCAAGCAACACGCAAACACAGGGAACAGTGAGGCAAGAGGGCTGGCAGAAGCTGCCAGGGAAGGCAGTGAATATGACCACAGACCAAGTGTGTATTTCCACGGCTCTTCCCCTTCCCTCCCAGATTGGGCTGTCCTCTGATCTACTAACCGTTCACAAGTGATCATTCTTTCCTGGGAAAACAAATCAATGGGCAAATTCACTGGAATATAATGTGGGCCAATCTCACCCTGTGGGAAGGTGCCCCCCCTTGTGGGCGGGCTCTTCCTATCCAAAGCAGCTCTTCTCCATTTGGCCAAGTGTCTGGGGAGGGGTCCCCAGCCTCCCCCCGTTGCTAATGCTCACCTGTGTTCTTCATAACGGAAGTCAGGCTGCTGAGAATAGAGCTGATCTTGGCCAAATCCACATTAGCCAGGTTCGGCAAGGTGAGAGCTGGCGACGGAGGAAGAGGGGCTTGGCTCACCGGCTTGGAGGCTGGAGGAGTGATGGGGGTTGGTGCCAGCACGGGTGCAACTGCCGGCGTGGCTACGGAAGCTGCAGCTACCGCTGTCGTGGCCGCTGTCAACGGGGTGGCTTTGGGGGTGCTGTCAGTCATCTTGGCAGGGGCTGGGGCTGAAGCAGCTGGTTTCTCCTTTCTCTCTTCCACTAATTCAGAAGGCAAGAGAGGCCACCATTAGACTCCAGGGACACAAGAGTCTCACTGGGCAGCCTGCAAAGCAGACCTCAGTGGTCGCAGCAGCGGGGCTACTGGGTCAGTTCAGACCATGGGCCTCAAAGGTCAGTGCATCGCAAGGGTCCAGGGTTGGGGACAGCTGCCACTGATCTATGAAGCCTTCCCTTTCCAGAGACAAAATGGCCCCCTCTCTTCCTGGTGGGCAGAGCTGATTGGGTAGGTCAGCATTAGTGCTGCAGAAACACCCTGGCGGCTCTCTGTAACAGGAGCAGCACGCAGAGAGAGGTATTTCACAACTGGAAAGACCAGATCTGGGAGAGCATCAATCCCCCCCTCCGTCCACAGCAGCTTGGCAACCCTTCACATCGTGCATTTTTGGTGTGCTACCCCCTCAACTGGCCATCAGGTAGCCCAGGAGAAGCACCACCATTTCCCACAGAATTCCCTCCCTCCAGGAGCTGTACCGATAATTTTGGGGGCATCATCATCCACGTCGGAGAGCTCCATGTCCTCCACGTCCCGATTGTCTGTGGCAAGCTCTGGAGATGGAGATTTTTTCCGTGCCACCTCTGGCGAAGGGGAGGTATCTTCTTCCCCCATTCCTGGGAAAGGGGACTCAGAGCCCGTTGGGGATGGAGCATCCATGCTTGGTGAGGGGACAGGTGACTCCTCCGGGTCAGGAAGGGTCGCCTTCAACTGATCCAGTTTCTTCTTGAGATTGTTCACTCTGTTGGCAAAGGTTTTGTAAGCCTGAGAGAGGAAAGCAGAGGAGAGTGAGCAGCACGCAAGATAAGAAGTAGCTGTCTTCTTGCAATGGGTAGACAAAGAAATACAGGTAGTCCTTGACTTACAACCATTTGTTTAATGACCATTCAAAGTTACAATGATGCTGAATTACAACTGGTCCTCACGCTTACGACTGTCACAGCATCCCCATGATCATGTTATCAAAATTTGGGTGACTGGCAACTGGCATGTGTTTACAACGGTTGCAGCATCCCAGGGTCACATGATTGCCATTTGGCAACCTTCCCAGGGGGTGTCTGACGAGCAAAATCAATGGGAGAAGCCAGATTTGCTTAATGATCATGGCAAAAAGGTTGTACAATCTGGTGCAACTCACTCAACGACTGCATTGCTTAGCGATGGAAGTTCTGGTCCCAAATGTGATCGTAAGTTGAGGACTATCTGTAGGCATTTCAGTTAAAGCAAATTCAGCGCTAAGCAGGAAAAAAACCAATCTGAACCAGCAGGACTCAAGATCTGCCTGTAAACAGGAAGGAAGGGAGGCCAGATATCTGGTGCCCCTAAAATGTCCACCTACAGTTGCTCAAAGCAGGCACACAGAACCACTCAAGCTGCAAAGGAAGACCGGCCGTTACGGGGCTCAGGAACCAAACGCTTTCGTTCCTAGTCTGGCAGAGGAAGAGGGATCCCCGATGGACACCTCCCCACATGGCCCCACCGCAGAGACCGAGCCACACCGGGAGAAGCGTACTGATGCCGGGGGTGGGGTGGCTCTGTAGACTCACATTGGCCACGACCTTGACCTCCTTGTACTGGGCTTCGTAGAAGATGCCCGCGTTCTCCAGCACTTCTGTCAGGGACGGGCCGTTCTTCACCTGCTTGTCCAGGCTGTTGACAAACTCTTCCAGCTTCGCACTTGCTTCCTCAAACTCCTTGGAGAATTTCTTCCCTCCTGTTTTGTCTGAAAGGCCACGAGAGCATTTTGAGGAAATGGAAACACAGAGGACAGGGCAGCGCCTACAGTTTAACCATTTAATTAAACCACAGGAAAGAAAATAAAAATCGAGCCTCCAGAAAAGCTCCTCCCTAACATGGGGACGCCAGACTAGGTTGGACGGTCTGACTCCCGTTTCTCCCCTTCCGGCCAAACTCTCCCAGGTGCGCCATCCACCCTTACCTTTCAAGCATTTCAGGGTCTCGGTGCTGCAAACATCCACCCGCATGGTGGACAGCTGCTTCTCCTTCAGCTCAATCTGGTCTTCCGAGCGCTTGTGGGAGAGGAGCTCATCCACCAGAGACTGTGGCTGCACGAGGGAAACAAGGCCCAGTGAACACAGCCAGGGCAGCAGCCCCTTCCCTCAAGCCCGCCGTGCTGGGGAGAGTAGCAGCAGGGTGTGCTTCTAACGTTCAGAACAGGGTCAGCCCCTCCTCTAACATCCTGCCTTGTTTAGGAGCCACAGGGACGATGAGATTTTTCTCCAGAATTATCAGGGAGCCAGGGAAAAGTCCAGAAGACTGACAACATGGCTATTTTCACTTTAATGGTCTACTAAAAGGGCAGGGCAACCCATTCAGGATTCACTGCTGGGACCCCAAACAAAAAGCTGGGGGACGGGCTCATCCTGCCTTGGAAGAGTCTTCCCCATCCTGGGGCTCAGCTACAGCTTTGGTCATCCCTCCATAATCCAAGGACCTCCCAACCAACCACCGTGTGGTACTAAAACCAAGGCTGGCAAATCGCCCCACTGCTGGACTTACGCGAAATTCTGCCACGATCTTGGATTTCAAAGCCGCTTTAGGATTAGTAGAGGCTGCAGAAAGGAAGAAGCACCTCATTTAGAAAAGGATCCCCTGGGAAAACCCAAATTGGCCCCAGCACTTCCCAACAAAGCACCTCAGCCCACCCCTCCTCTTCATGCTGGAATCTGACTCTGATCTCCCTCAGGGAAGGTATGGGATCGCTGACTCTGCAGGGTTTCTGTAGTAAGATTTGCAGCCAGCTCTACCGTAATCCCCCAGGATGTCGCTGAGTTTTCTCCCACTCCATTTTAATCAGGGTGCTTCACATATGTGGGAGGGATCCAGCTGTTCCCCACCAAAGGCTCCGTGGGGGTTTGGGGAGGCACTCCCTGCCCTGCCTGATCTCAGTGTGAGCTACAGCGCTTCATGCAGAGATGTGAGGGGTCATCTCCCCTGAAGGCTCCCGCAAGTGCCGGGTCGGGACCATGAATGACTCGCCACCCAGAATTCCTTTTGGGAAGGTGGGGTTAATGAGGGCCATCCAACTCGACTCGCGTCGGAGGCTTCAGAATGGAGGTGGAGGAGATTCAGAGCACCTGCTGAGGAGCCCGAGTTAAGCAGTTTCCCCAACAGCCCCCAACTCCATCTCTGGTGGAGGAACAGAAGCCTTCCCTGTCTGACATTTTGCTATCATCTTCTCTTAGCCAGTCAGAGCCGGACTTTAAGCAGCACTGCTGTGCGAGCAACTTGCAGCCGGCAAAGGCCGATCAGATGAGCTGTTCTCCCGAGAATGCCAAAGACAGGTCATCCCCTGGAAGCCTCTCTGCCCCCTCCCCAAACTTTAGGGTGTGCTGCTGAGTTGCTATTTGCTGCGGACAGATTCCAGGCCTCCGCTTCTGGACACAGCACCAGGCTGATCCCCAGCCCGTCTCCAGTCACGGGGCACTCCTGCTCTCCCTCCATCGCCTAATGCTGCCTCACGCCTCTCATGAACCTCTACTTGGGCGTCACGGTTGCTCAAGCTCTGCCTACATTTTGGTAGCAGCTCTTTTCACACGGCCCCCAAGCGAAGCGTCTACGTGATGAGTTCTTCCAGAGTGGCCATTTTAGGCCCCTCTGCAAGGAGGCTTCTGGCTACCACATTCAGACAGTTCATGTGTTCAAAGTATTTCTTACTTTGAGATTTCTTCCAAGACTTAGTCGGTTGTTTGCTCTGAGTTTCTTTCTGCTGCTTCTGAGTTTTGAAAGTGGAACCTGGAAAACATGGTTTCGTGTTTGCGTTCTGTGCTCTGGGATGTCTCATAGTAAACGAGACCAATGGAAACCAGCTTGAACGTGCACTTGGGGTGGGGAGACCTAAATTAAACTGAACTGATCATCTGAGGGGCTTATGAGAGCCCCCAGCTTTCACATTCTGCACAGGTTTTATGTGGAAATGAGAAAGTTGGCAATCTCAGGAACAGAGTTAACTACTGACTGAGCTTAAAGCCCTTTTCGTTTGGCTTAAGAGAGCAGACAGGAAGCCTTATGTCCCTGTTAACTGGGTGGCTTAAAGGCAGCTTCTGGCCCACTCAAAGGTGGGTCAATAGTAGAATAATTCTCATCGCTTGCTTCTTCAGCCAAGTTGTTATGTGGAAACATTGACACATAAGCAGCCTATAGTTGCATGAGACTTAGATACTCATCCACTTTTGGCATTACGAGAGGAAGAGATTCATGTCCATGTACAAAGCGTTCCCCTATCCTGAAAGCAGGATTCCACCCAGTTCGCTACAATGCCACAGTGGTGAGCCTTCTGTTGGCCAGTGGGCCAACAGGATGGGTTTGGGACAAGGGGGAATCCGACCTCTATGGCAGAAGCAAAATATCCTTATGGCTCCACACGTTTATAAGTAATGGGCTTCTATTCCAACTGGAATGGCTGGAATGCAGCCTTGCTACAAAGCGGACTAACCATCTCTGGCAATGGCTGTTACCCTCTGTTGGAATGATGGCCAGCAGGAGTCAACCATGCCATATGCCCAAGCCAACTCAGCCCTAAAACACTTGGAGGGAAAGAGGATGAAGGAAGTTGGCCGTCGAAGCCACAATTCTGAGCTGCTTTTCAATACTGGTGCATTAACTGTTGTCAAAAAAACGCATTCAACTGTTACACATACCACCAGCTCCAGAAAGTCTGTTCTAGTTTAACTTGATGAGCTGCTCCCCAAATTAACATGTACTGAGTACAAAAGTAAAACTACAGGAAAGAAAATGTTGGAAATTCCCACTGTTTTTCCTCCTAAGCACAAGTTAGAAAAGGGCCAGGGGGAGAACCAGGATAAAGGTGAAATTCAATGCACCACTTTCAACTATTTTAGAACAAGGAGCTACTCAAGAGGATAAATATTATGGACAAGGCAGAGCTGCAGCAAACACTGCAGAGATCAGAATTTTGCAGCCTTCTTCCTCCTCTCTGTCCAGTTGCCTTGGACCATGATGCCCAGCATCCTTTACTCATTTTGTCTGGCCTGTGTACACATGAACAAAACTGCAATAGGTACAGAAAAAAGAAGAAGAAAAATGTAGGGGAACTTACTTAAAGCTTCTTTTAGAACTGCAATGGTTTCCTCTGGATACACATTTCTGTCTTCCCAGATTTTAAAAATCCTTTCTATAGATTTGGAGACAGATGGATCTCTACAAACAACAGAGAGAAAGCTGGTTTGGGTTTGTACACCTATCTTCCCTTTATTTAATCAATTACTATCAGAACCCAAAGAGATGACGAGTTCCTTTTTCAACAGCTATTCCACCTTAGGACTGAAATCAACCCACCCTGAGATTCTGGCAAGGGCTCAAATTGGAACAGGGGGATCTGATCAGTAACATAAAGAAGGAAAAGAATTGCCTGACACAGAGCCTCTGATCTGAGGAGCTGGTCTGATGACTTTCTCTAAATCTCAAAGTGAGAAAACAAACAGAAAAAGGTACCTTCCTATAAATATTTCAATTTCACAGTAGCTCATATCACCTGACTGGAGAGACTTATCTTTGGCTGCCTCTGGAAAACAGGCAAACTGAGATTTCTCCAACCACAGAGAATTTCACAACCAAATAGAATCTGTCTTACAGGGCCACAATCACTGCAGATCTATTAGCACAGGCGCATGGACAGGGAATTTCCATGAAATTCCACCCACAGGATCAAACAAGTCTTGTTCCTCATGCCCAATTCAAGCAATCAACTCAATTGCAGTTTCAAACCTCAATGGGTGGTAAGGAGTGGAAGAAAAGTACTTTCTCAAAAATATCCTCCCCAGGAACCCTAAATGCCCACTAGCTTTATCCTCATATTAATCTTGCCATGCACCTCAACTAATTCACCAGGAGACTGGAACCTTGTCCCACGATGCAAGGAAATGAGGCCTTAAAACCAGGCTGCGAAGGCTGCCCCAGATTTGGTCAGCACAGCTGCCACTCCAAAAGAAATAAACACCAGAGGTTTCCAGAGTCACTAAAAGCATTGGACCACAAGAAATAATGTGTGGGTCAACGGGAGGTAAATCTCCACAAAGTACAGGAATCTTTCCTGAGAAAAGCAAACATTGCCCTAGGATATTTCTGCAAGAAATCAGCGTTCACACAAATAACTACTCAAATAGGCAGAAAGTACAGGCAGCAGGACACAAAGTAAGTCAGTGGCAAGGAATTAGGACTTCAAAGGAGCTCTAATTAGGCTGGGGAAAACGCGCAGCCTGCTGACACCCATCATCACAAGCCCCACCAAGGAGAAAGCCCCAGAAGTAACCAAGGAAAAGAAAATTAGCAAGTTGTTTAAAAACACAACACTCTCTTCTTAGGAACCATCTCTGAGCTAAGAACTAGATCCAGATCAGGCTCAAGAGCCAGGAAGAGTTCATCGGCCACAGACATCAAACAGAGGATCCTATGATCAACCCTGCCACCCCCAGGAGATCCAGCTGAACACAGTCTTCAGGCAGGATAGCAGGAGGACACTACCCACCTGCCACCTGCAATTTACTTCCACCAGCCAGGGAAAGAGAATCACCTTCCCCGAGCATCCTCATCATACTTCCAAGTTAAGAGCCTCTGAGGCTAGTTTTAAAACTAAGAGGCGTATCCCTGAATTAGCTGGATGGCTCCTGAGCAAGGTATTTCCCACCTTGCTTTAGTCAAACCTCCAGTTAGTATGTGAGTTTGGAGAAGATCACACAAGGCCAAGAATGGTGAAACAGAGTTGTAACCATTTGCAATAAAACAAGAGAAGAAACAGTGTTTCTTCAGAAGAAGAAACAAGTGTTTATTGCATTGTTGACAAATAAACTTCGTTAAACCAAAGCTTTGTAGCTTTCTGAGAGAGACAACACCTTCTTAAGATGCAGGATGCTCGGAGTCCAAATACTTCTTTCAAACAGCAAAACCTGCCCCTTTGGCATCTCATCAAGCAGTCCTCTGGTCAGTGCCTTGCCCTTTCAAGGTCATTCACAAGCAAACCCGCAAATACGTCTCTGGGGACCAGAAGGAGCAGAGAAAAGAAACGTGGCTGCAGAAAGGCCTTCACTTACTTCACCAAAGCGGCGGCTTCAGGGAGCACTTCGGCAAATGTGTCGCGAAACACAATGGCGTTTTTTCTCTTGCAGTTCTGTATGACATCGTTGGCCAAGTAAAAGAGGTTCAGCCGATGAGGAAAGGCAGCTAAAAGCAGAAGAGAAGCAGAGGGTGATCATCAATGCATGTGGTCCTGACAAGCTGCCTGACAAGGTCAGCTTAACTTATCTTCTGCTGATCGTTTTTAATCCCCCTCTTCAACCGTGCTATTTACCAACCCCCTTTTTATTACCCCTGCAACGGTTCCTCCCAGCTGCAATTTTTGCATGGAGAACTAACTTAAAAGTTGGCCTCCTTTCAGAAACAAAGCTGCAGTTCGCAAGGAAGGGCTTCTGCTTCTCTTTCAAACGACCCCTTCAGCTGCAGCCCCACAAATCTGATTCCCAGGCAGAGAGAAGATTTTCTTTGCCAGGCCTTGCGATGCTACCTTGCAAAGCTCAGTTGACTGCCGGCATCAGGAAACGCCACCCTGGACCTTTAAGACCTTACACCCCAAACCTCCTCTGCTTTTCTCCCAGCTCTGCACTCTCTGGAAGCAAGGGTGAGGCGTGGGTTGGACATTTTACCCGCCCAGTTCCCTCCCACCCCAGGAGTGGCGGTGAACCTTTCGATCATCCATGATCCTAACCTGACAAGGGGCCCCAAGGGACCCCTCTTCTCTTTCCAAACCACACTGGGCTGAGGGGTTGCCAATTGCACTGGGGGATTTGTCAGACAGTAGCATCAGTACTCCGGAGATTACTTAGGTACTGATGCTACTGTCTGGGAAATCCTCCACCGCAGCTGGGTAACCCCACACCTATCCTCCAACTAGGAGGAACACAATTATTAGGACCAATTAGAGAAGTCAGGTGACACATCGCCCCAAGACCCATAAGGCAAGGCTTTCTTCCTGGCCTACATGTCAGCTCTCTTCCACCTTCCAGATTTGTGGGACAACAACTCCCATTGTTCCCAGCCAGCACGAGGAGCAGAGACAAGCGTTTGGAAAAGTCTGTCTCGTGCACTAGAGCATGCATGTGCGTGAGAGAAAAAGGCTCCACTCAGCTCACTATGGTCTTATCTAGCATTAGCAGGCTTTCAAAAGCAAAGCAGAGGCACAATTCCGCTTGTAAAAGTCCAAAGGCCAGTTTAAAAAAAAAAGAAAAATGGGACAGAAAAAGTTCTCCCTGCCTGCTTAATCTGTTCCACAGGCAGAGGTGGCCAGTGGAGCCCTCGGGTTACACCGCCGCCTCTTGATGAAGAAAACACACAAACCTTCAGGGTAGGAAGTTCAGCCACGGGGCGGGGAAGGCTGAAGTGGGTGGATCTTCCAGGTTCAACTTATTGCACCATCCTATCCCCCCATTCCCCATTAGGATATTTAGGACACTCAGAAATAGCCTCCAAATTCTCCCTTCTCTACTCAGATGGACACATGTGTGCGCAAACACACCCACACCTGGCAAATTAAGGCTGCTCCCTTCCGCAAAGATGCCAGGGTATCTCACTTTTCCCCCCAGGTCCAGTTCCAAACGGACCCAGAAACAGCTCAGAGCCTTCTGCATTTCATGTTGAGGTTTGCGCACAACCCCAGACAGCCTTTTACATGCACTTCTTCCTGCCAGCACAGTCCAAGCTGACCACCGATGTCTTGCACAGCCTGTCACCTGTACATGGAATGCCAGTCAGGCCTCCCAGGAAAGGGACGTGGCTCCCACAGAGTCCACAGGTTTTCAGCACAAAGCGAAGACTTGTCTGTTCATCAAAACGTTTGGGAGAACATGGCCCTGAAAGCAAAATGGTCTTTGGGTAGGTAGCTCCCTTTTGGCTGAACAGATTTTGTGGCTGTTGCTATTCCTGGACTACTTGCTTTCTACAGCAGTTATGAGGTTCTCCCCCGAGATCCTAACGGCCCCCACCCTGCTGGTGTTTTGAAGGGGCCTGGAAACCTCGCTCTTTAGCCAGGCCTTTGGTGGGGATGACTGAAGCCTCCTTTTAATTTAGGTTCTTTTCCTTTGTTTCCACTCCATTTGTTATTCTGACATTTCTACCCTTCTTTATTCTTCTCGTTTTTATTGCCATGTTTGAAATCGTAAACCACCCAGAGTCACTGGGAGTTGGGCGGCATATAAATTTAATTAATTATTATTTTAATTTTTCTATATTCATCCTGCACACAGGATCAGTCTGGAGAAATCTAACATGGAGCAATCTCTTTCTCGGTCAAAATAGCTTGGGGGTTCTTTAGGTTGAAAGTCAAGTTTGAAACCCAGTAAATAATATTTGCTGATTCTCTTGTGATTAAGACTTTCTCCGACAAACAGACAAGGATATTTTTGTAGAGAGGAGACCAATGTCTGCCTTGTTTGGAGGAATGGGGATCCAAGCAAATCATTTACAAGGGATCAGTAACCCTACTACGCTCCTGTTTATGCAAGGATAGGCAGCTCAAGCAGAGAAGGGGCTCAGTGCAAAATCTGAGTACATTGCACACTCTTATTCAACTGGACAAGAGAACCAACTGCCACCACTCTCACCATTCCTTTTCTTTGCGCGTTGTGTCTTTGAGGGCAGGAACTATCTAATCACTGTTTTGCAAGCTACTCCAGGAGCATTTTTTGTTGAAGAGCTGGATAAATCTTTAAATAAACAATGACACAACCAGCGCATCAACAACATGGGAAAACACCAAAGTGCTGATATGCCCCTTGGAGAGATGTTTATAGCCATTTACATCCTGCAATTTCAAAGTGCAGTTTGCAGATTGTCTTAAAAATCCTTACCGTAATCGTGCAAGGACAAATTGGTGCAAGAGGGACACGGTGAGAGTTTTGGTGCAAGACCCCTCCCTCCAAAAAACTCTTCATACCAGTTAGGGGGTTCAAGCTGCAAGGACACTTATCTGGAGACCCATTCCTGCCACCCCACGCGCTCTGATTTTTCATCTGAGAGCAAGCCTCATTCAGCACCAGGCAAACCTGCTCCAAAGCCTTAACGCTTGTGCTACACCAGACTGCTCCAATCTCATTCGCTCTCTCCAACCTGCAAGGATGTTCTGAAAAACAATACTGGAAGGCCTAACCCAGCGCTCTTTTCTCTCTCTTGTTATACTAATATAAAAACATACAAGAAAGGTGGGACCAAAATACACAACCAGAGCATTTCTGTCCATTCAAGAGTCAGCAACTGACCATCAGCCAGAAGTCAGACCCAACACCTGCGTTTGGGAATTTCCTGATGGGCTGAAATTCAACAGACAGCACCCTTAAGTGCCCAGCCAGATCTGCGTTTCGAACCAACTCTGCTCTTGAGAATGGAAATTCTTTTCAGGAGCCGATGGAGGCAGACCCAAAACTTTGGGACACCCCACAGCCAGTGTAGGAGAGAGCTATCTTTCCCCACAGAATTGCCAAGGACACCACAGCCCCATTCTGCACCCATAGAAAACAAGGCCAAAGGCGGCTTTCACACTAGTCCTGAACTGCCAGACTAGCCAATGCGCTATTCGATGTGCCCCTGTCTTCCACCTTACAGAGGCCCCTCGCTCTGTGCCTTTGACTCCATGATGCATCCCTCCATGAGCCCAGTGAGAACTGTCTTACCCTGGAGCACAGCAGACATCTGATTAAAACGGTGAAATAGTAAATTATTTGTTCCTACAGACAGACTGCATGTCGCTCCCACCCACGTGTATAAGACTATTAGCATGGCCTTTTTCAACCACATCACCAGGTTTCTAAACCAGCTTTGCGCTGGTCTCCTTATGGTGATCAATAACACTATGGGCATACAGAAACTTGTAACTTCTGGTAACAATTTGCCATTTTCAGAAAACTAGGATAATTTTTATAATCTTGATTCTAAGCCTCAGACGGAAATTCAAGTGAAATTAATGAGATTAATTTAATGAGTGAAACTGTGCTGCAAATGGTGATGTTCCCTCGGGGATGTAGCTAAGGCAAACATTTTACAGTCCTTCAAGATCTTAACATTATGTGCTATTTCACGCAAATATTCAGTTCATATATACAATTTCATGCCAATAAGTTCTGAAAATCTTAGAAATAGGGCAACTCCTAACGTTCAGAAATTCAGAGAAAGCATACGCATGTAAACAAGACTCTTGGGTTCACAGGAAAGTTTAGAAAACATAAGTAAACCATCTCTCAAACAACATGATCGAGCCTGGAGGCTGGCACAGCAAAGTCTCTAGGCCGGTGGGTTCTTCTTTCTAAGCAAGCACCCTCCTGCTGGCTGGGGCTTCCGGGTGCTGCAGAACACTTGGAGCACCAAGGTGAGGAAGACCTGCCAACGTCCCCTCACTTACTGTGAGCACCAGAACCCTTTTCACTCAATAAGTGCACATTTTTTTCCAGAGAAGCGATTGGCAGCCTGCAGGAATCTGACAAGGCAACCTTCGTTCCCTTTCACAAGACATCTGTCACTCTCCAACTCATGAGAGAAATCAAAGGAAAAAAGAAAAAGGACAAACACCCCGATCAGAAGCCAATCCATGCAAAAAAGGCGCAACCGCCACAGAACTGGCGACACCAGCAGCATTATCCCACTCACAACTCAGGTCTGCATACCTCTAAAGCTCCTCCAGTAAAATGCCTTGCCTGCTTTTCATTCCATCTCCAAAGACTGAAACAATATGCCCATCTCAGTCTGCCTTCCCCAACCTGCTGCCCTCCAGACGTGTTTCTCCTCCTGTCATCATCCCCAGACAGATCTGGGGAGTCACAGCCCCAGCAAGGATAAAGGATGGCCGGTTGGTATCGATTATTCAGAAAACCAGACTGACTCGACAGGCAGACTTTAGAGGTTTAACAAACGGCACGTTCCCAGTAACGTTTACAAAAACACGGCAATTTTTCCGAAAAATCTCATGTGTGCCAAGGATTTCTAAAAGACAAGCGACGCACCCAACAAAGTGGAAATAAGACTGTTCATCGTCTAAACGTTTCCTATAAACCTGGAAGTGCCACTTGCCCAGTAGCCTGTGGAGGGAATAGCTTGTCTCAAGGAAAATAGCCTGCACGCCTGTTAGCAGTCTAGCGATTTTTATGGGCTCGCTGGCAACAGTGCTTTGCCCCCGATGCTTTTTGTCTGGAAAAACAGCCGCCAAGAGAA